ATTAGAGCGGGTCGATTTGAATGGGTAAAAAAAGTCGCTTGCTAAAAATGAGATACTAGCTAAAGAAACTATACCTCTAAAATGAGTTCAGATGTCCCGTGCAATGACCCAAAAACAAGGGTTGAAATTTGAAAAATTCCATTTTGACCCATTTAGAGTGCCCCAATCGCGTCCAAATGTATGACCAACCCCCCACTAACTTTGGAAAGCCGATTCACCCATGCCCGTGGTTTATCCCCTGAGCGGTTTTTCAACATTTAACCCTTCACGGAACATCAGAATTTATTTCAGAGGTATGGTTTCTTCAGCAAAGTATCTTATTTTGATCGCTAGTATCCGAAAATCATGTGCCTAAGTGACCTTTATATCGACCCCCACTAATATATAATATATATATATATATATATATATATATATATATATATATGTATATGTATATGTATATGTATATGTATATATATATATAATATTATGGCGGGTTTAAAAGTCACATACGCACATATGATTTGCAATGAGATCAAAATAAGATACTTTGCTGAAGAAATCATACCTCTAAAATGAATTTTGATGTCCGGCAAATGATATACATTTTTTAACCTTTTTAATTTGATCTTTTGTCAATACAAGTGAAATGTTTTTTGAATCAATCAAATCGGATGCTTTATTCTCTCAAAAACTAATTTGCAATTTTTTGCATTTTTGCACTGTATCTTCAAAACGGCTAGACCTGCCTTTTTCCAAAAACTAATTAGCACATCTCCCTATAAATAGGAATCGAATGTTTTTTGAATCATTCAAATCGGCTTTCGTAATCGTCAACGAAAATTTGTATCCGTACATACAAACACATAGACACATATATACATGCATTTTTTTAAAGTAAAAATTTTCACTTTTAATTTTTTGCTGTACTTATCCTACGTGAAGTTGAACATATATCTAATTTCTATATCAAAAACTTTAAATTTCAACAATTATATATGAGAACAAGCAACTGTTTTGACGAAGCCACTTTCCAAGGTCAATTCAAACAAAATAAAACAATTATATGTATATCGCCAACAATAAAAAATACATTTACCACATATTTAAAATTTATAATTGCATTTCAAGGGATTTACTGTTACCGAACAAGAACCAACAACTCCAGGCAGATATGTTATGAAACCAAGGGTAAATGAGATAAAAAATTATTATGGTATGTTTTTGATTTTCCAAATTAAATTTTTCAAAATTTTTCAGGATTCTTCTGCATCAAGTGTACCACCGGTGTTGAAGACGATTTTGAAAAAGTCGCATTTTTCGGAGGTCAGTTGCAAAACAAAATTATTATAACTGATGTTTATGTGACTTTTACAATTCTTTTAACCCTTTGACTACTACCAAAGTTAATTTATATAAATTACTAAATAAATTTAGGAAGTTTCAATGCCGACCACTGGCAAAGGCGCCAAATCCAAAACAAAATCAGGAAAAAGAACAAAGGTGAGGGGAAAGTGCTGCAACTAAAAATTTTATTAATTTAATGCGTAATATATTATTATTTATTGATTTACATTATAATTAATTTTATTTGTCTTTTTCTTTCTTTCTTTCAGAAGCGCGATTCTGATGCTGTGTATAAACTTTCGGTAATTATTGTTAGTTGATAAAAAGTTTATTGATGTAATAAGTAGGCGCTAATTAAGGCGGGGTTTCTTCTATTTGATTAATATTTTTCATAACCTGATTGTAATTGTAATTTTGTTATGTAGTGTTATAGAATTTATTAAAACTCTCCTTCGATAATTCAGGTTGTTGGGTTATAATTTAACCCTTGTAGCTGTGGACTGTTTTAAACACTGATTTGTTTGTATATTATGTATTTGTTGCAGTTCTAATTACAATCACTGATTTGTTACTAAGTTATAATGAAAGAAGATATATTTATTTTTATTGGTTATTTATATGTTGTTAAGCGGACTTTACTTTTAGAAGTGAACAACTAGTTCAATTAAAACACTCAGCTACCCCCTCTACCAGGGGTAGCAACCATTCCGTGTAAAGCTTAATGCCCTGAAGTTTGTCATCTTCATGGCCAATATAATAAAACGAAAAGATGTCCGAACACTCATATTCTTACTGTTTGTTCTTTGTTCACTTTTGCCTATTTGGGGATTAAGGAATTAAAAGATTTCAAAATTATGCTTACGTAGTACTCAAATGGCATATAAACTACCTCTGGCACATTTTACATAGTATTTAAAATTTCTATGTTTAATAGGATCGTACTCCAAAGATTAAACTTGCTAAGAAGAGAGTTACAACTCGTAAGGTCAACACCAAGAACAAGAAGCACGTGCAGGTTAGCATTGATAATAATTTATATATATATATATATATATATATATATATATATATATATATATTAAAAATTTCTATATAGTTTATTTAAATAAAAACAATATTTAATTTTAATTGAATTTGTTTTCAGATATCTGCCAGTGATCTAAAGGAAGTTTCGGTTGTGGTAAGTGAACAAACAATTATTTTTAATTTACTTAATTCTTTACCGTTTCCTAATTTTTATTATTTTTATTTACTTTTAATTCAACTTAATGTTTTATATGAAACTATATATATACAATTTAAAAAGGTCATACCGAACTTTTATGAAATAAAAATTTATTGAACAAATCAACTACTTCGACTTTATATACTATGAAACGCGTTTTTCAACTGACAATTTTTCTTTGACACAGTAAACAGAAGTGTCATTTTTATAAAATGGTACTATCTTAAATTTTCAGTTTGTGTTATTATTATCGACTAATTTTAAATTTTATAAATCTTATTTCATTTCAAATTTATCAATCTTTAATAATATGTAAATAACAATGTCGACATTGGTTTTTCGGAGTAGATTGATTCAACATAATTCTTCTTATTCCAATAATTAAAGTTTTATGTTAATTTCCGTCAAGTTTTTTTTATTTTGATGTATAAATTTTATGCTTTTGACCTGGTGATTGCTGAATGATGGCTCACATCAAGTGTCAAAAAGTATAAGAAAATAATTTTTTCTTAACTCATTTTTTTATTCCGACGAATGGGCTGCTAATAAAAAATTAAAGTAAAAACTTAAAAATTATAAAATTAACTACATTTCAAAACTAAATACGTTCCATTATATGGTTTTCCACAACTTTCATATGAATTCATATTACTAATTTTTTGCCAAAAGCACTTGAAAATTGAGTCTATAATCGTATGAGTTTGTAGTCACAAACTGTCAAATAACTATATCTTTGCTATTCGATCGAGCTTTTCTTACATAACACCTAACCTCCAAATGTCGTAAATGCCAAATAGTAAATGCAATTTTATGATGTCCCTTTTTCAACACATAGGCGAATACTAACAAAAAATTCTGACGTTTGGACCAAGTGGAAGTTAGTTTTTATATGCAAAACGCTCGATCGAACAACTAAGTCATAGCCTTTTCGTGACTACCAACTCAGACATGAATATATATATATATATATATATATATATATGTGTGTGTATTCATGTATTTATTTATTTATGTGTATGTATGTATTTATATATTTATTTATTTGCTTACAGTTACATCGGTTGCCGGAAGACGTTGTAGCCAAGTATCGGGCAAAGTTAGAGGTAAGAAAATTATTAATAATAATTATTATAATTTTAATTTATTAAATTTAATTAAAAAAATAATTATATTTTTATCAAATTACCTTTTATAGAATGGCTCTAAGAATGCAGGGGATGTCAAAGCACCCAATAAAAGAACTCGTGGTGCCAAGGTAAGTGTGTTAATATGTATAAATTTTGTGTTTTGGATCGACTTATTGATATTACTTAGAAATTTTTAATTTGCGCAATTTGTTTATCCTGTCTTATGCTATTTCAATTATAAAGAACGATGTTTTGATGTATGGTTCATTCAATTTGAATAGTCTTATATAAAATATATACAGATTCATTAAATTCAGTCTAATAATTTATTAATAAATAACTAGTGGAGCATGGCATTGTGCTTTAAGGCAAATTGCTGGAATTTCCCGTACCAAAAATTAAAATTTATAAAATGCTTAATTATTTTTTGTTTTCGAAAATCTGATGAATATGGTTATTTTTCTAGCGCAAAATGCCAGCTAAGAAGCAGCCAAATGTTAAAACTGGAAAAGGAAGCCAAAACTTCGACAAGCCTTCCCCAGCTATCAAAAGACCAAAAATTGAAACGGTGACAAAATCTCAGGATGATGAAAAGTATAACCTGGTATGTTAATAAAATTAATTGTTTGAGAAAATCATCATCAGTCATTGAAAAACTATAATTCATTTACGGCACTGTAGTTTTTAAAAGTAGGAAATGCATGTAGAAATTTATTGGAAGTTTTTGGTAAAGGTACAGGTTTTTATGAGGAATGTGAAAAATTTGAAAGGGGCGATTTTGACCTTTCTGTTCCGGGCGAGCATTTTTGATAGATCACTATGTTGGCCAGGAATTATTGGAGTCAGGATAGGATTGCTGTGGAATGATTCAAGATTGTGGAATTGGTGTGGAATGCTGATTGAGCTGTCATATTTGCATGGTTTTTTTTCAGAACAAAATCATTTTTTGAACCGGACGACATCTGGGGACGAAAAGTGGATTCATAGACATTGCACTACATGGACTTTTTGTCCATTTTGTATGTTTTCCATTGTATATAGTGCTCAAACATAAAAGGGTATGTGGCGTCACATGTTTGAGCGATCATTGCCGACGACAATCGCGGACTTCACCGATTGATCAAATGTCATATGCCATATGCTACGTGCCTAACTTAGGCCTTATAATATATAAACAGATTGTATCAGGTAAATTCGATTTTATGTACATATATTTCACAGAGGAAATATTATTAATTTCATTTCTTACAAAATTATCAGCCATTACAATTGCCATTATATTATTGATATAAAACTATCACGGATAATATTTGAATTAAATTAACTATTACGATAAATATTATTAATATTATTAATATCATTTCTTACAAAATTATCAGACATCGCAATTGCCATTAAATTACTAAAATAAAACATATGACATATGACATTTAATCAATCGAGAGAGTTCCGCGATTGTCGTAGGCAATGTTCGCTCAGACATGTGACGTCACTTACCCTTCTATGCTTGAACACTTATTTTGCGCTCGACTAGCAGTCCATGTAATATAAGATCTATGAGTAGATTACATACAAACTCTAATTGCCATTTGTTTCTGTTCTTAAAATTTTTTTTGACGGGCAAGGTGTCAAACAAACACTGATTCGAATTTTTGCAACAGAAGAAAGACATTTTTCAAAAATGGGATAAATAAATTGTCCTCAGAATGCCAAAAAATAATAATGGCAATAACCTTATTCAATAATCTTAATTGTTTTTTTATTCCACAAACGGACAGAACTTTCCGGTAGACCTAATATTTAGGTATAATGCCACTAGTTATTATGAAATTCTTGTATTTCGTATTTTTTACTATTATATAATTATTAATTTTTTATTTATTGTATATACAATTATTTCCAACAAATTTTACAGCTGTCGTTGTCCATATTGAATTTGAAGATCTTGAAAACATGGTAACTAAAACTACTAATGATTTTTTCAGCTTTCAAACAATATCTAGTAAAACATGTAGCACATCATTTGGTTCGTAAAAAAATATTAACTTGGTATACTAAATTTTGTATAAATTATTTTCTTTGCTTTATTTATTAAATCTTTAATTTCTTACAGCTTTCATCATCGCCAGAAATTTTCTTAGATGATTTGGTTAATAGGAGGTGCGGAAATTGGAGGAACAACATTATTTTATATACGTTTCATTATCATATTGAATATTCATTTATATTCTTATTATAATATATTTTATTCCATTATTATTGTTTAGTTAGTAAGACACTTTTTTATATTTTCAGTTCTTCCCGGTAGATGCTTCAGCACCAAAAGAGCAGGTAGAGTGAAAAATCAAACAAAAATTATAGTAGTTTAACTAGAAATTAGAAGATTAGTTTAGATAATAAGTACTAATTTACATTAGAATAATGTACTAATTTAGATTGTAACGAATTTGTAGCTTTTAACCAGATAACCTATTTTGTTAACAAGTAAGATCTACTGTATATTATATTTTATTATCATACCTATTCCATTTTGCATATTTGTATATTTTATAATATACCTGCGGGTAAAAGTTTATATATAAGTCAATCATATATATATATATGTAAAATACTAAGAGAAATACATATTTTTCTGATTATTTACAAATTGTATTAATTTATCATTGTGTTATACATTTACTTTTTTATTTTTTTAATAATAAATATTTTTTAAAGGTTGAAACTTCGCAAGACTATCCTGTGGCGATCGAGGTAAGCAATGAAATAATGATTTAATTTAAATTAATAAAATTGCAAAATAAACTTTGTAAATCAAAAAAAATATTTACAGAATCCACCGCCAGAATATGCCCTAGCTGACAGATCCAGTACTCTCGAACCGATGGTAAATTTACCAACAGTGGCGAATGTCAGTACAGATTAGAAGATGAAATGAAAAATAGTGGTGCCTTAGAAAATTTCTGGAACTTCCTGTGCCGTAATTTACATAGATTATGGCTTTAACCCCATTACTTACGATTTAGATTCGAAAATGCTGGGCAATAGTTGAACAAGCTGGTGTACAGTTTATCACAAAAATAAAAATAATTTTGCTTTTTTATAGTTCCGTATAAATAAATATTTTGTGATACTTGCGATTATCGTACCGTGCCATGACCGTAATGCGTAATATTTGCTTCTTTCATCGTTAAGAAGTTAATTTTTTTTTGGAAAATTTGAAACAAATATTTCTCTCGAGTTTTTTAAAAAAATTGATTGCTTTTAACATTTTGGTTAATTTTGAAAATTTTTCAAAATTTTGAATTTTTTCAAAGCGATTACGCTGCGTAGCTATTTTATAGACGAAATATCGGAACGCGTATACGCCGCGTCGCAATCTCAAACGATTGAACATTATAAATCTTAGTACGCAACTCATAGATATATAAAGAGAAGGTTTACGTGATATTAAAATTGCTATAAATTATCTGTAATACCATTTCTTCAAACTTTTTTTTATTGGATCTCTAAAACCGCTGCAACTGCTCCCCTGTAAATCTAATTAATTCTTCTCTCAGCCAATATGAGTAAAATATTTTTTAAATCATTCAAAACGGACGCTCCTATCTCTGAAAAATTGAAATTTACGCCACTATTTGTCCAGGATCTTCCAAAACGGCTGGGCCTACCTTTGCCATTTTTAAAAAGTAAGATGTTACAGTTTTATTTACCAGCCACTGATTCACACTACTATTTTCAAATTTCAATCATTGTATATAATACCAGTATATTGTTTTCAGATATATATATATATATATATATATATATATATATATATATATATATAGATGAATTTTATTGTATTTCATTTACAGCCAGGTGATGCATTTGATGCATTTGCGTACCAACTTTTTGAAGTGTGTGCTAATCTTCCACATGTAAGTTGAAATTTATTATTATTTATATAAAGCATAGGCTTTAATTAATGAATTATATTTGAAAATTCTACCGTCGACAAATCGTTCAACCAATTTATTAGAGAGCAAAATTCGTTAGCAATCAATCTACCAGAACTCTGCTATGCATAGGATTTAACTACATATCTATTTTATATTTTCATATAGAAACTTATTTTTACTCTGAAACAAGCGTATATTTTATAATACGTGCCAAAGTAATATATTTTTGTTTCTAACACTTATATTTGATTTCAGAATTCCTTGACGAGGCCTTCAGGAATAGAAGTGCAGGTAAAGTAAAAAATAAAGTAAAATTAACTTTTTTGCTACGTGCGTGACATACAGTCAATATACATTTGACGGCCTGTGTGTACGGGTGTTGTTTAGTGTATTTATAATACGTACAATATATTTTTGTTTCTAACACTTATATTTCATTTCAGAGTTACTTGGAGATGCCGACTTCAGTAGCAGTACAGCAGGTAAAGTAAAAAATAAAATAAAATTAACAAAAAAAAAATTTTAATATATCCATATTAAGGACCACCCTAATATTTAAATTGTGTGAATTTCTATATTTTTGATTTTCAGGTACAACCTCGTGAACGTGATGAATTTGATTCTATAGCGGAAGAAGCTTTCCAATTGTGTTCTGCATTTAACGTAAGTTAGTATTTATTATTGAAGTAAAACTTCTTTAGGCGCGACTAGCGTGTGAATTTGTGAAAATGCAACGGAAGAGCGTTACGCTCGAGTCGAGTGCCAATGATTCATCATTCGCTCTCGATGAGATCATTTTTATACGGGTCGATTGTGATTGGTCGTTGTGTCGCGTAAATATGATTGCTTTGATTACATGATAAGTAAAACAACTGTTCCCGTTCAAATGTTAGAGTTTATAATATATTACAAAAAAGCATATTTTTCTAAATAATTATAAATAATAAAAAGTGAATTGATAGATTTATTACTCTAAACAAGAAATCAAGCACAACAATAATTTGTGTGGCTGTGTATCATTTATATGCAGATATACTTCATAAAGGACATCTATGCAATTTATTTATTGCTAGTGCTATCGAAATTACTCAAAATTATTATATTTCAGCTGTCCGCAGTGTAAACGAATA